GCAGGTTGATCCGGAGTACTCGGAGCGACCCCAGCGGATTGCTCTGGAATAGTCGGAGCGACCCCAGCAGGTTGCTCTTGATTCTTTCTACTTAGCTTTCTCCGCAGCAGTAAATCGCCTTGGTGTTGGATCATTCAGCTCTCTACCACCTCTCAATTCCACTGCATAACAATCCCTTGGATTTTTATCAGTTTTTCCAGGGAGCATCCCCTGCTGTCTCTTGACACTCTCTGCAGTCTGAGCGAGAGCAATGTCAATCTGGCGCATGTGACTGCTCACTGTGTCATATTTTGTGTTGAGCTCAGTGAACATGTTGTCCATCCTTGTGTTGATATCAGAAGTAGCCTGGTTTAACGCCTTGGCCTGTATCTGTTGACTCTGGAGCAGCTGCTGCATTATGTTCCCTAAGGCTTTGATCTCACTCTGTCCACCCCCTGAATTAGCTGGAGCATCTTGCGGGTTGCTCTGCTGATTCTGATGGTTCTGATTTTGGTTCTGGCTTTGAAATCGGTTCTGAGCTTGGTTGAAAACAAAAGTCTTGCCTTGAAAACTCGAAGGGAAACCTCTCTGCTGCGGAGCACCTTGCTGCTGATTTCGCTGCATCTGATCCCCAGAATTCTCTGCGTTGCTCCTCTNGAATTAGCTGGAGCATCTTGCGGGTTGCTCTGCTGATTCTGATGGTTCTGATTTTGGTTCTGGCTTTGAAATCGGTTCTGAGCTTGGTTGAAAACAAAAGTCTTGCCTTGAAAACTCGAAGGGAAACCTCTCTGCTGCGGAGCACCTTGCTGCTGATTTCGCTGCATCTGATCCCCAGAATTCTCTGCGTTGCTCCTCTAGTAAGAGAGCGGGTTAGGGTTGCTCTGGTAGTTGAGATTCTGATAATAGTTCCGGTTCTGCACATACCCTTGACCATTGATGTAGAGAACTTCCTGATGATCCTCTCCCTTTGTTCCTCCCTCAGAAGCAAGATCATTCGCTATTTGCTCTAGTGTAGCCTCATCCATGTACATCACCTGCCCCTCATTGCTCTTCAGGAGCATATCAACCTTGGCAGTGAGCTCATCTTTCCACTGAGCATCGACACTGCTCACCTTCTTGGAGCGATCTGCTTCTGGGTTTTTGTTCGCAGAACTAGCAGCCATGTTCTCTATCAGCTCGTAAGCACCCTCGGTGGTCTGTGTCATGAAGTCTCCCCTGCTCGCAGCATTGAGAGCATTGTGGAACTCCCACTCAACACCATCATAGAATATACACAGAACATGATCCTTCTCAAATCCATGATGAGGGCACTCCCTAAGTGAATCATTGAATCGCTCACACGCATCGTTGAATGGCTCATTTGCGTGCTGCTTGAAAGAAGAAATCTTATTCCTGAGAGTTGCTGTTTTAGCCTTCGTGTAGAAGTGTCCCAAGAAGGCTGATCTGACCTGCTCCCATGTAGTGAGAGAGCCTGTAGGGAGCGACTTGAGCCATCTTGACGCCTTGTCCGCTAGAGAGAACGGAAAGAGCATACACTTGATGTAATCAGGAGGTACACCATTAGCACGTGTGAAGCTACAGATCTCTTCAAAAGCTTCAATGTGATCCATCGGTATCTCAGCTGGGAGCCCATGGAACATCTTCCTCTGCACCAGATTGATCATAGCAGGCTCGATCTCGAAGTCTTGTCTGGCACAGGGTGGTGGAGCAATCGCGGAACGCGTAGCAGGGATGTTCCGCGGCTGATTTCGCTCACCGATCTGAGCGGCTTGCTCCTGCTGTTGATTGCGAGCAGCCTCTTGTGCGGCAATGGTCTGCTGCATCTGGAGCATTTGCTGTTGCATCAGAGCCAATGCTGCAGTGAGATCATTCTGGTCGCCGTGATCGCCCATTGTGGCGTGAGTCGGCCTGGATTGTTGTCTGTTGGTTCTTTCTAATCTTGCTAACTCTTCGTTGGTGAGCGTGAATAATGGACTTGAGGTGTGGCTTCGAGTATTTCTACTGGTCATACACCTGGAACATCAGCTGCAAGCAAAGAAAAGATAGAGCAAGTTAGATGTTTTAGACTAGAAAAATTGCCAAAAAATAAAGGTAGATAAAATGGTCCCCGGCAACGGCGCCAAATTGATATCGCGTCCGAACACACACCAATTAACCTAATGTGCACACTACCACAATCGAATGGTATGTCGATGTAACACTTAAGGATCGAATCCACAGAGACCAAATTCTACACTTTATTTCTATAGGATCAAATTCAAGCTAAAACTAACAAGTGTTGTGAAAATCAAATCTTGAGTAAAAAGTAACTAAATGGGTTTAACAATCAGGATATAAAGATGCTAACCTAGGGTATCTCATTGGGTGTTGACCATACTGAACCAAACAATTATTCAAGCTTTTTAAGAACAGCCTAGAACTTAGGTTTCTAACTAGAACACCCTGCTCTCGCAGCCGCGCTCCTTTCGCGGAAGAGCAATGACTTACTATGCTCTTGCGTGTATCATGACTTAACAGCAAACAGTAAGAACAGACCTAAAATGCTCACATCACACCCTGATATCTACTTTCGCTGATCAGGGATGTGATGCTTGCTCTCAACAGATCTAGCAATCTAATTCAGGATTAATGATAAAAGATTAAACTTGGAATCAAATACTAAGTGATCAAATCAGCATAAGCATTAAGAACAGTGGAGAGCAAAGGNCAGTTCATTGGATCAACACCCTAGAACCCTAGGCTAACAAATCAACTACTCAACCATGACACAAGAGAACACACAAATCATGTCTGAATAATGCATCAAATAAATCAAGTCTCAAGAGGGTTCAGTGATTTCTTCTCTAGAAACCAAGAGGAAGAAGCCTTGGCCCTTGCAAAATAAATAGAATGATCTTTAACAAAAACTCTCAAAAACTTGTGTAAAACTATTGTTTTTCTGTCTCTGGTCGAAAGTGAGAAGAGAGGAGGCGGCCAGAGCCCTCTTATTAGGTAAAATAGACTTCTGCTAGGGTAGACAGAAGCTTTCCCGAAATAAATCATGGCTCATTAAAACGCGGGAGCAAGGTGGTGGAAATGCAGGGGTTGCTCCGCGATGAGTGTGCCTACCCATGTGTTTGCTCCGCGATGTGCGTGCCCACCCATGTGTTTGTTCCGCGAAGCAAAACACTTTCTTCTTGCACCTTTTCACTCATGCGTACCTCCAGTGCAATCCAGCACATTCTCCACCAGAAATGACTCAAAACACACTAAGAGAACTCCAGGATAGCACTTAGATGATATCAAAAACACATGAGAATGGTGTCAAAAACACAACATATCAATGATCATCCACGTATGAGGACACTAAGCTTCCTCTTTTGCTTCATCATCATTACAGATGTCTAGTTAAATATTTTGTCCTTATCTAATATATAGTTGCCGACATGTTCAAGCTATAATAATAACCTCCCCATTCATTTGTAAATGTAAGTGTGTGTGTGTTGAAACACAATAATATAATTTGGTTCTCTTTTACCAAACAGAAAGAATAATATTAATATATATATATATATATATATATATATATATATACTTGATCCGTTATCCGGGCTACGCCCGGGTTGTTTGGTTGAATTTCTTTTTTTAATACTATTATAAAGAAAATTATGTATAGTTAATTAATTTTAAGCTGTTTCATGAGCATGATGTGAGAGATTTTAAACCCGATTGACCGGAATAGTCGTGGGGAAGAGTAGTCAGCCTCTCTGTAGTTGTTTGTCTTTGGTTAGTAATGAAAGTTAAGGTAGAAACGTGTTGGATCGGGGTTTAGTTTTTTCATTTCAATGTGCGTTTTTTATTTGTTTTTTTTTTCTCACCTTTGGCGCTTATTATCTGTTAGTTTATAATATGATAATTTTGATAAAGTCTAGGCACTTAGTACCATTAATAATAGTGTTGTGTTATGTATGGTAGATAGTTTTTCGTATTGAAATCATCGTTTTAAAAAGTGACTGATAAAAACAGTAAACCGAAGTAGTTGCCAGAGTTCGAATATTAAACGGATTGATAGTTATAAAGATGCTCTGCTTTAGATTTTTGCGTCTGATGGTCGCCATGTTATTGAGGCCATCTTATTTCAAGATTTCGCTGCGGGCGTACTTGTCCTTTGAAATGCTTGATGCAGCGGATAGATTTGTTCAAGTAGAATTTTGTTGCCATGTTTTTTATATGTTGTGTTTTTGATAAATTTTCCTTCTTGCATTATCTTAATAATTTTTCACATTGGTTTACTATAAAACCAAAAGTAAATTTTTGTAGTTATAATTCATTTATAGAACTTGACTCATATTTTTCATTTGTATTTCTATATAATTTGAAAGATTTATTTTATCTTAAGACTACAATAATTTTTTTTTTTTGGGGGGGGGGGGGGAAAGTAATGTTAATTTTCTTAATGTTTTTGGCTTCTAATTTTCGATGTGGAAGTTATAAGACTGGGAATATTATTTCAGTTCGAGATGTAAAGTTTGTTTTTTCTTAGAAAGGAACCGTATGAATGTTTTTTTTAAAACATTACTATTATTTTTTATTGAATTCAGACAGAGGGAAGTAAATCAGTAAAACCAATAATATAAAAGTAACTCATTTATAATTGTGACACTGGAGGCTCTAAACATTAGTCTCCCTACATAGGCCGTTATATATTTTGGAATACTATAAGGAGGTTTTGGGTGTCTGATTAAGACAAATCTCTAGACGAACTTGCAATCACTATTCATTTAGTTGATGTGAGTTTTTGTGTTTCAGTTTTATTACGGTGTCTGATTACCTCCAAACCCAAAGTAATACTAAAGACACACGAAAATAACAGTTGGAAGGTTATTATAATGCTGTAAAGGGGAATCCATTAAAAAGGTGAAAGGAAGCAAAATATTAAACTGAAACAAAACCAAGAGTTTAGAAAGATGCAAAGGAAAATCCATGGAAAAGAAAGACAGAGGTAAATATTAAACTGAAACAAAAAACAGTACTAAGTTCCATTAGCCAAGCTTTGAACGCTTGGCTTCTTCACCCTCAATCACATCAGCACCCCTTTTCACCGACTCCTCAGCTTGATCCTCCATAGCGTTTTCAGGTGCCTCTCCATCTTCAGCTGCAATGTTCACCTCGTGTTCTTCCTCCTCAAGAGGGAGCACTTTTGTCACAGTCAAACTCTGGGACTTGCCAGTGAGATAATAGGCAGATACCTTCACAACAAATTTCCTGGTTTGTCCTATGGTACTAATTAGAGCCTGAGGCACTGGGACAATGTGATCCTCTTCTTTAATTTCGTTTAGCTGACATAGATTTACACATTGTTACTACATTTTTTCTTAAAAATGAGATTAATTTCTTAATGCTTACAAACGTTTTAGTTCCTGTTATACTTGGTAATAGCTGTCAGCCAACTCAGCAGCTTTCTTTCCAGTCAACTCCTCACCAGCATCACCGAGAAGTACAAAGACAGCTTGATCCTTCTGGTCATACACAGATAGCTTCGAGTGGTACCTACGACAGGGAGATATTAATAACCATTGCAATAAAATGTAAAATGTGATCGTAAAAGAAAACCGCTTACTGTGGCACAGCATCAGTTTCATGCTTCCCACACTTCTTACACATGAGAGCTGTTGGCCCTTTGATTGCCTTGGTATGACAATCACGACAGCCTATATACTACCACCCAGCACCATGCACAACATCATCAAAAGTTGCTATGCATTCAAACCAAGCAACCTGTAAAAAAAGATTATAAATTTAATGTTTTATTTACATTGTCGTATAAAATGTATCAGATAGTGATGAGTGTAATACCTTTGCGGATTCCTGCTTCATATAGGTGAGGAGATCACCCAAAGTCACTGTCTCAGGTTTCGTCACCACTGTTGCATCAACCCTGTTCGCAACTTCGAAGTTCGATTCCAACCTGAAACAAATATAAAATCAGCCATCACGGATTTGGAGGAGCTTAATTTTTTTCCTAAAAAACATCGAACCATAAACCTTACCAACTGAGATATGAGCGTGTCTCTTGGTTATCAACATCTATTAATACCCTTGAAGCCGTTGTAGAAGACAGAGATAAAACGCCTATCACAAAACATAAACCATGTTAAAGAAGTCAAACCATGTCATAATGAATTAAAGTTAAATGTGTATTTAATACTATCTTGTTGGATACATTTTTTTTCTTTCAAATAAGCAGTATAGTGTTTTGAAAATGCATGTTTGTACCAGTATTCTACAAAAACCAAATTAAAAGTCAGTGAAACAAACCTCCAAACCATTTCGGATTCAAGGCAGTGACCAAGATAACACTTGCAGTGCCTCCAGATGCTTTGAACTTGTCACAGAACTCGAAGGGGCTTTATCCCAAAGACACTAGGTTGCATGAAATCGGAAACGGATACGTGGAAACGAAACGTTTCGAAACGTAGAAACTTGATTTAAAAAAAATAAGAAATGGAAACGTTTTAGAAACGCCTATAATATATATATATATATATATATATATATATGTATGATTAATCAACATGTAAATTTATTTTTTTTGTTTGATTTATCTAAGAAAAAAAATTAAGTAATAGAAATATTTTTTGTACATTTTATTAAAATTATAATCAATAACTAGAAAAGTAACACATGTTATCATTCTATAAAACTATGGAGAGACTTCATTCCAAATTAAATCATTATACTAAAATGATAACAAATATCAAAAATAATATTAAAATATAAAATAATAAACATGTAATCACTAACATCAAATGCCAAATAGTTATTTTTTACGTTTCTAATTAGAATCGCGAGTTTCCGAAGTAGAATCGCGAGTTTCGAAATCAAAAACACAAGTTTCCATCGTGTTTCCAAAATGAAATTTTCAAGAAACGTGTTTCCTAAGAGTTTATTCGAGTTTCCAAGAGATTCCGATTCCGAAACGTTTCTGAAACAGGAAACAGACCTTGAACGGAGTTTCCATGCAACCTTCATCACTGGTTCGCTGCGAAAAGCATAATTTAGAATTCTAAAATCGGTGCTGGAGTCAACTGAATCTTCATTATGGGAAAAAGGTGCATATTAACTTACTCATGTGTTTGCACGTGCAGGTCAAGACGGCGAGATGCAGCTAGCCCTGCTTCGTCAATGATAAGTTTGTCATTGGGAACCTCCCCATTCACAAGTTTGATGTGGCCAATGTAATCTGCATTGTGAAGACAGTAAAACACAATGCTCAAAAGCTCATAAACACAGTGAACCGGTCTAAATATCTGAAACTGTACAGATTTAAATTCCTATTTTTACAATTCAGATTAGACCATTAGCATCTCAATATCAGAAGGTAGAGTAAACAAATTCATAGGTTTGCAATTTAGAATAGACAGTTAAATTAAACAACCTGTTCGGATTATTTTAAGGATCTGAACTTACCATAAAGATCACCTCGCTTATCTGCGGCGGCATCAAATTCTTTATGGTCATGGAAACGGAACCTATCCTCAGGAAAACAGACAGAGCTCTCTTTGAATTCAGACAGGACGGAATTCCATGAGAGACTAATGGTGACGGTTGGGTCAGCCACACGGTAAATCATTTTGCTCTGCGACCCAAAAAAACTGTTGAGCCGATAAGTAGCACCAGCTTTCAGGTGAGGCAAATAAGTAGCACTCATTCCTTGCGGGATGAAACCCTCGATCACATTTTCCTGTTCTGCAAAACGAAATCAATCTCAGCAAATCTATACTATACTAACAACAAATTACAGAACAACAACTTTAACAAACAAACAAACATAAATTAACATGAAAAACGCGCAAGGATGTACAAAAAATCGAAACTTTTAAGAGAAACTAATTAATCGAGACTATTTAATCATACTAACAAATTCATAAAACTATTAATATAAACAATCAGCTATCATAGTTCTCGTATTGAACAACAACAGATCACAGAAACTATTCATTCATTTTTCTTTTTAGATTCTAAATTAAAACGCGCAAGGATCTAAACAAATCGCAAAACGAAATCATACTTATTTGTTGGTAAGTAAAAATCTGCAGTGATGAATTACAAAAAAAGACTAAATAATCAAACTTTTAATAGAAACTAATTAAACGAGACTATTTAATCTTGCTAACAACAGATTACAGAAACTAATCATTCAATTTTTTTTTAAAAAAAATTTAAATTTTGCTTGGAGATGGAAAACACGTTCATTACCTCTTCATCAATGAGGAGCATCTCGATGCCTATGAGCGTCTTTGACACGGGATTCCAGACCTCCCAGAAGTGAATCAGCCTAACGTCTTTGAAGGTTAGCCCCTTCCCAGCGTCGCCGGAGACGATAGATTTCCCCTTGGCGGCGGCAGAGATGGCTACTTTGCGCGCACCGGCCAGGTTGCGCCCACCGTCGAGGTTGACACCGGAAGAGGAACCGCGTTTTGGACTTGGTTTGATCGCCCTCGATTTTGCCACCGGTGGGTCTTCTGGTTTTGTTGATATCGGCTGGCCGGAAGAGATACCGGATTCGCCAACGTTTTTGACCGGAACAGATGGGATCGTCGCTTCATTGCCTGAAGTCATGGTTTCGATGGGAGATATAGTGAGATAAGGTTTTGATGTGAGAAATCATGGAATTGGAGTTTGTTATATAGATGTATAGATGGAGGAGGTGTAGAGAGACAATAAATGACAATTAAGACGGTTGAGAAGTGGTAGAGGTTCGATTCAACAGAGAAGTCGAAGAGAACGAAGGTGACGAAGAGAAAGGGAGTACGATTTGTTTTGTGAAAATATATAGGTTTTTCATGCGGCGCATAGATTCTATCGACAAAACTGGGCCTCGCACTCACCAAATCAGCCCAAATCAAATACACAGAAACGAAAAGCCCACTCGAAATAGCACAGAAACGAAAAGCCCACTCGAAATTGCATGGCTGAGCTGGATGTAAACTTAAATCTGATTGGAGGATTAAACAATATTAGGTGGCAGCATGAGGGGGGAGTATTAGTGATGCAGCTGCATCCTAGAAGCTTCTACGACAAGTAACCTAGAAGCTTCAACGGCAACTTTCCATATTGTGTTGTTTCCTTTTTATCTATGGCTTTGGTTTCTTATTACTTTTAGGATTTAGATTCATATGTCGGTTTATAGAGTCCTATATAAGGAACTCTCTTATGTCTTTATTTCACAGAACTTGATCATTAATAAAACTAGCTATTGCTTTATACCTTGAGAGATTTGATTCACTTCATCTTATTCAGGAAGCCTTGAGAGAGATTCGATTAAATTCATCTACTCAAGTTGCAGGTCTCTAGAGTTTTGAGAACAAAACCCTAGATTGAGCTGATATCTATTCTTACCCGCCATCAGGTTGGTATCAGAGCAAAACCCTACACCGCTTTTTCCGCAAATTTTTTTTTTTTCCTCTACCATTACCATGCCTCGCCCCAAGAAAGAAACTCAAGCAGAGATAACTCAACGCACCTTAGAAGAGATGCAAACTCAGATTACCGTATTAACTCAAGTCATGCAAAGCCTGCTCGACAAACGTCCCGCCGGCGCACCACAAGCTCCCGCCACCGCATCTGTCCTCGCCGAAGACGACGAACAATCCGACCAAGAAAACGACGCCAACCCCTTTGCAGTTCTCAACAGAAACCAACCACGTCCTCAACCAGTTCCACCCCCTGAGCGATGGGATCGCAATTTCAAATTTGAAATACCCGAGTTTCATGGCACACAAGTTGCAGAAGAACTCCTTGACTGGATTGCTACAGTTGATGAAATCTTGGAGTTTAAGCAAGCTCCGCTTGCACATTGCGTTCCTGTTATTGCAATGCGTTTTCGCGGACGAGCGACAGCATGGTGGACACAGCTTAAAACATCTAGACTTCGTGTTGGCAAAGCAAAAATTGAATCATGGGAAAAGTTAAAGAAACATATGCGAAAAACATTCTTGCCATACAACTACGACCAGTTAATGTTTCAAAAATTGCAACATCTACGACAAGGAAACCGCACCGTGGAAGAATATGCCACCGAGTTTTTCTTGTTACTCAACAGAATTGACCTTCGTGATTCCGATCGACAGCTCGTTGCACGTTTTATAGGAGGCTTACGACAACAAATACAACATACGCTTAATTTGTTTAATCCGGCTACTCTCTCCGAAGCTCATCAACAAGCTTTGACAGTGGAAGCACAAAATAAGTCAACCCCCAGCTCCTGGAACTCGACACGGCAACAGCGATCTACAACAACAACAACGACACCAACGGCAACTCAAACCACCACTACCACATCACCTGAAACCGCCATTGTTCCAGTAGAAGACACACGACAGACACGTACTGGCACTTTGCGTTGCTTCTCTTGTGGCGAAATCGGGCATCGACAAGCTCAATGTCCAAGCCGCAATCGACGGGGTCTTCTACTTGACTCGTCCGGACGTGATGTTGAGATCGAGTATGATGAACCTATCAATGAAGAAACAGAGGAATTGGAACCTGATTCGGGCGTTTCTTTGATGCTTCGTCGTTCTTGCCTTGCTCCACGATCATGTGAAGAATTTCCCCAACGCAACAACCTCTTTCACTCACGTTGCACAATCGAAGGCAAAGTCTGCAAGCTTATAATAGATTCTGGTAGTTCGGAGAATGTTATTGCTGCTGATGCCGTCGAGAAACTGTCCCTATCAGCTGAACATCATCCCTCTCCCTATAAGCTCGCCTGGTTGCAGCAAACAACCGATCTCCTCGTCACTCGTCGAGCTTTGGTCTCCTTCTCCATTGGCGACTCTTACCATGATAAAATTTACTGCGACGTCGTACCGATGGATGCGTGTCACATACTTCTTGGACGTCCTTGGGAATTTGATAGACGTGTCCTCCATGATGGCTTCCTCAACACCTACACCTTTAAATTTAACAACCGCAGCTTTACACTCAAACCATTACCGCCCCCTACGCCAACAACACCTCCAGCCCCTCTCTTATTGTTGCATAAGACACCTTTTGAAGCAGCAATGCGTGACGAAGACGTAATCTTTTTCCTCGCAGCTATACCATCCTCTTCGCCCGTGATCCAAGATACACGACCTGAATTTCAAGCCCTTCTACAGGAATTCGCCGATGTGTTTCCCACGGATCTTCCTCCGGGACTTCCTCCTTTGCGCGATATTCAACATCAGATTGACTTCGTCCCCGATGCTAGTCTTCCTAACCGCTCCCACTACAGAATGAGTCCTTTAGAGCACGAGGAACTACGCAGACAAGTCGAAGAGTTGATTACTAAAGGCTTCTTACGCGAAAGTATGAGTCCTTGTGCCGTCCCAGCGCTATTAATTCCAAAAAAAGACGGTTCATGGCGTATGTGTGTTGACAGCCGAGCTGTGAATAAAATCACGGTTCGCTACCGCTTCCCCATTCCCCGACTCGATGACCTCCTTGATCAGATCGGCACCGCACGCGTATTCTCCAAACTTGACTTAAAAAGTGGCTATCATCAGATTCGCATCCGTCAAGGTGATGAATGGAAAACAGCATTCAAGACGCGAGAAGGTCTTTTTGAATGGATGGTAATGCCATTTGGTTTGTCCAACGCACCTAGTACGTTTATGCGAGTAATGAATCAAGCTTTACGACCTTTCATCGGCAAATTCGTCGTCGTTTATTTTGATGACATTCTCATCTTTAGCATGACGTTGGAGGATCATTTGTCTCATCTTCGTGATGTACTCCTCATCTTGCGCCGGGATAAGCTCTTCGCAACACTAAAGAAGTGTGCCTTCGGCTCTCCACAGGTCCACTTCTTGGGTTATATAGTCTCCGAGGAGGGACTTGCAGTTGATCCAGCAAAAGTGTCCGCCATTAAGTCTTGGCCTGAACCACGTACCATATCAGATGCTCGAAGCTTTCATGGCCTCGCTTCCTTTTATCGCCGTTTTGTGCCACAGTTCAGTGCCATCATGGCTCCGTTTACCAACTGCATTCGCGATAGCACTTTCGCATGGACACCAGCCGCTGCAACAGCCTTCAATATAATCAAAGATAAACTTAGTACGGCTCCTATTTTGGCTCTCCCAGACTTCTCAGCAGTCTTCGAGTTACATTCCGATGCGTCCAAAACCGGAATTGGTGCTGTACTCAGTCAAAAGAATCGACCAATTGCTTTCTTTAGCGAGAAATTGCTGGTGCTCGTTTTCGGTACAGCACGTACGATATTGAGTTCTACGCAATTGTCCAAGCTATCAAGCACTGGAGACATTACCTGTTTCATAAGGAATTCGTTCTTTACACCGATCATGACGCCCTAAAGCATCTAAGTACTCAAGATAAAGTCTCTTCACGCCACGCCTCTTGGATAGCATATTTACAGCAATTTACATTTGTTATCAAGCATACTTCCGGTACCAGTAATCGTGTGGCAGACGCATTAAGCCGACGTCACTCCTTATTATCCGTTCTGCATGTTTCCGTTCCTGGCTTTGGAGCTTTCGCGGACCTCTATCCTTCCGATCGCTTCTTTGGACCAATTTGGACAGCCGTCACAACTGGTTCTGCACTACCCTACACTCTCCACGACGGGTTCCTGTTTCGTGATAATAGACTTTGCATTCCGGACTGCAGTCTTCGTCTCCAGCTTATCTCCGAATTTCATAAAGAAGGGCACATTGGCCGCGACAGAACTCTCCATCTCATTGCTACTTCTTATTTTTGGCCTGGTCTTCGCCGTGACGTAGAACGTTTTGTTGAACGTTGTGTGATCTGTCAGAAAGCAAAAGGTACAGCCTCTAACGCCGGTTTATACTTACCATTACCGGTGCCTACGCAACCTTGGACAGATATAAGCATGGATTTTGTGATGGGTTTACCAACTACACAACGGGGTTTTGATTCTATCTTTGTCGTAGTGGATCGTTTCTCCAAGATGGTTCACTTTATTCCCTGTAAACGTACTACGGATGCCGTTCAAGTGGCTACACTATTCTTTAGAGAGATCTATCGCCTACACGGTTTGCCTTTGTCCATTGTTTCCGATAGAGACTCCCGCTTCTTGGGACACTTTTGGCGTTCGTTTTGGAAGCTCCTTGATACTAGTCTCGATATGAGCTCCGCTTATCATCCCCAAACCGACGGGCAAACGGAGGTTACTAATAGATCTCTTGGGAATCTTCTGCGAAGCTTGGTGGGAACTTCTATCAAATCTTGGGATTCCAAGCTTCCTCAAGCGGAATTTGCTCACAACCATGCCGTTAACCGCAGTTCCAAATTCAGTCCTTTTCAGATTATTTATGGAATGGTTCCTCGCGCACCACCGGATCTCTCTACATTGCCTGATCGCCTTCGTCTCCATGGAGGTGCAGAAGCTTTTGTCGAACAAATCGCAGAAACTCATGCACAAACAAAGACAAACTTGGATATGTCCGTTAGCAAATACAAAGCCGCAGCCGATGTTCATCGTCGACGCCTTGTCTTCAATGTTGGTGGGCTGTACTCACACGGGATCGTATGCCTGCTCACGCTTACAATAAACTCAAATCTAAAAAGATTGGTCCTTTGGAGGTTCTTGAACGTATTAACGATAATGCCTATCGTTTGCGTTTGCCTTCTCATATCACGACATCTGATGTTTTCAACGTTAAGTATCTTTCTCGTTACTTCCCCCCTGATCAGCCTTGCGATTCGCGGTCGAATCCTCTTCACCCCGGGGGACCTGATGCAGCTGCATCCTAGAAGCTTCTACGACAAGTAACCTAGAAGCTTCAACGGCAACTTTCCATATTGTGTTGTTTCCTTTTTATCTATGGCTTTGGTTTCTTATTACTTTTAGGATTTAGATTCATATGTCGGTTTATAGAGTCCTATATAAGGAACTCTCTTATGTCTTTATTTCACAGAACTTGATCATTAATAAAACTAGCTATTGCTTTATACCTTGAGAGATTTGATTCACTTCATCTTATTCAGGAAGCCTTGAGAGAGATTCGATTAAATTCATCTACTCAAGTTGCAGGTCTCTAGAGTTTTGAGAACAAAACCCTAGATTGAGCTGATATCTATTCTTACCCGCCATCAATTAGCCTCTTTTAGTATAGTAAAAATATAATCTCACCTTGAATAATTTACAACAGATCATACATTTTTAGTGGGGTCAGCTGACCACAATATGTGAAGCTCCAAACGATAGATGGACTTTGATTCGGTTTGCTCAATCTGATGTTCTCAGCCCATAATCGTATCCTTTGTCTCGTGAACTGAACATTGATCGAGATGTGGGAACTGATGTGCTCGGTTTCACCTAACTTTATTTTGTAAATATTGAAAATGACAAATGGATAAAAGGCTAAGATTAAAATTGATTTCGTCGAAATTGTAACTTGTTTTAAAGCAAAGGGTAAAATGAAAGAAAAAATGATAAAAAATACTTAATTAATTTTTTGTTGGAAATAAGAATGTAATTATCCATTAAAAACTATTTAAGAGGTGAAACTAACTACAATGTAATAAACTTTCAAAAAGTAAGTATCAGTTGGAAATATATTAAAATGTTGTAACTGATATTTGAAAGTATATACTAACTTATTTTAGGCTATTATGTTTTTGAAAAATATTTTACTAGCATAGCAATCATAAAGTATAAATATTGTATAACTAGTACAACTCATAATATAGAAATTTAATGTTTATATATATATATATATATATTATATTGATATTTGGAAAAACTAACAAAGTAAAAGTAACCGCTGTTTTTTTTTATTAAATGAGAAACCAAAATCAGTTTTTTATTAAAAGAATAACTAAAATCTTGGTTTCTTTTTAAAATTTATTAAAACACTTTTAAACTAGTTTCTTTATAATGTAAGAAAATTTTGTTATTAAAATGAATCTATTTATATAAAGAGATGTTTCTCTCCTTATTAGAGTGTCCACGCCGTTTGCCACGTAGATAAGTCCACGTGTAGCTTTTATATGCCATCTTGGATTTTGTTTCGTGGGCTTCGTTAATATCTGGCTGAATATTGTGTGGCTCTAACCCTAATCTCCAGCGAGAGCAGTTTATCCTCCTCGGCTCTTCCTCCACGTAGTGATTCTTCACATTTTTCGCACCATCTCCAACGTTTCCGTGATTAATATCATTCAGTCAGCCTCTTTGAAAATTTATTGGCTTTCACTTCTCATTCTTCAGCGTTCTCCCGCACCTTCAATGGGGTTTCGAGGAATTTTGATGACGAAATCGAGATGAAGATCTGTTTGTTTACCCCCACTCGTGTTGGAGAGGGATTGAACACCCTTTCACAAGGCCCATCGAATAACAGGTTCCAGCCCATCTATGGTCAATTCGATTGGAGCTCGATCGAAATAGAAAACTGAATCAAAAGTCTGAACGACCGGTTTGGTTCAATAGTCGGTCGACTAGCCAAATCGAACTTGTTCGTCCAGATTATCACCGGCCCAGAAGCCCATCAACCTCGAAATCGATCTTGGGCCTTTCGAATTAACTTTAGGGCGAACGAAGATGAGAACGGAGGGAGCAGTATAAAAGGAGAGCAGAAGTGAGAAAGAAGGGGATCCGAAAATTGAGACAAGAACATTGACGGCAAGGTTTAGGGTTTTACCATCGATCGAACCTCTTTGTAATCCGGCCGGACTTTCGTAAAGCTCCGACCTTTGTTCTTTCTTTGAATCTTTCTGTAATCTGATTAATAAAACGCCTTCGAAGAACCCACAAATCGAGTTTAGTTTTCCAGTCAATCGACCGTACAAAACTCGGACCCAACAACTCGCGTCCTTTAGTTTTCTAATCTACTCAACCGAAGCCGCCGGAGTTACAGATCCAGCATCTTTATCGCCTTCTTAATTCCATATACCGACGTAAAGCACGATCTGAAAATGATTGTAAGTTATCCCTCTTCATGGCGGTGTTCTCCAACATCATACTTTGGATTCGTGATAATACAACTGACGAATCCAAATCTCTCCAGCGTTTCTGAGGTTCCAAGATAGTCACAAGTAACAATTTTTTCTTTTAGTTCCGCAATTCACTATTTTATTTTATTTTACTAAACAGAGTGATTCTTACTGCAGAAACGCCACAGTCTTGCAAAGTTGGTATGATCTTATGGAGGATTTTTTTCAGAAGACTGATACAGCGGAGGTTTTTTTACCATGTACAAAATTTTACTACGTACATATTTAGTCATCTCTTTATATAAATATATTGCAGATTTGGTGCTCCGAGGTATATAAGCGACAGCTCTTAATCAGTCTCCTATGTTCCTGGTTTCTTAGAAAGTTTTAGCGCTCGCCACCAAAAAACTTACAATCACCTGAGGTTTGTTTTTTTATTCCATTACAAACTCTATGAATATTGAATAGATAATGAACCATTTATCTTAATACTGTTTTAGATCTAATTTTCTTAAGGTGTGGTGTGGCCATATGTGTGTGGTGTTTACGTTATTGATACGAACCTTAACAAGAAAAGTAAAGCACTTTCTGTCTCTGGTTTAGTGGAGTCGAGAATGAGGTAAACATCATTGCCTCAGTTTGGTACCGACACAGTCTTCTGTTGAACCATGTGTGCATCTTTTTCTTGATCCCTTTCTTACACCATGTAATGTCTTAAGAATGTCCTTAATGTTGTATTGTGGGAAACAGACCTGATGTTGAACAGTGAGAGAAACTATAGATAGCTGCATAATAATAGTGAATCTTCTTTCTTAGCATATATATAACTTTTTGGTGTGTTTTTTTTCCTGGTATAAAGATAAACATAACTTATCATTACAGAATATTTGATGGTTTGGAAACCAGTGATAGCGATGTTGCAGAACTTCAATTCCTGAGCTCAAAACTAATAATGTGATTAGTCTTGGTTAAAACTGATGCTGGAAGATACACTGCATATGGTAAAGTTTCTCAATTTCTCTCTTGCTATTTCGTTTGATCTTTTGTTGGTTAATCAGAATATTGATACTGAGTCTTATGTGGTTTGGACACAGATGGACATTACAAGATGAAGAAGCTATTAGAGTTACTAGGAAACTACAACTTTCCATTGATTACAAGATTGACTGAAAGCAATACTGTTTGGGTTTACTCTAGTCCTGTTAAGCTTCAGGTTAGAAAGTTTTTGTCATTTTGATTTGTATATATTACAATTTTTATTGTAAAACTTTGTTTTATTCTTCGTTTATTAGGTTATGATTTTCTCCAAAGCTGATGTCTTTCTTAATCTGGCTCAGACTCTTAAATATTTGGCAAGAAATTTTAAATCTAAGGTATGATAAATCTTAAAGGCCAGATTGATTTAGTTCTTTAGTTTCTTTATTAACGTATACTATTTTTTCCTGCAGTTTAAGTTTATACATGTTAATATAACAAATGAGAACCTTGCGATGCCATTCTTGACCTTATTCGGAATAGATAATCCAAATAAACTGTTGTAAGTTTCTGATGCTTGTGATCTACTGGTAATAAAGCTACAGGCCACTGTGTACTAATCTATAATTTTCTTCAATAGGTTGCTGTTTTGATAACAACCTGAAATCAAAGTATTTTCTCGAATCAGATTCATCACCAAGCAGTATAGAAGTAAGAATTTGCATTAAGTTTATTTTTCATGATGTTTCAAGTATCATATGTAGAACTGATTCAAGTGATTGGTCTTGGATTTGCAAATGACTTTTGTTCAGGACTTGCGGATGAAACTGTTTCGCATTACTATAGGTCAGAGCCAGTTCCTAATAATGTAAGTATTGAACAATTATCCTCCTTGAAAGTATGAGAAACCATGTACTTACCATCGTCAAATAACTTGATGAAATCTGCAGGAAAATGCAAGCATAGTGACACTGGTAGGAAAGACTTTTGACGAGTTGGTATTACAGGGCCACGAGAATGTTTTTCTTGAGGTTAGTACCTCTCTGCTATACCAAACCTTTTTAGTAACTGAAACACTTAGACCATGTAACCAGGTACATACAAAATGATGTGTGAACTGCAAGGTGATGAGCAAACAAATACTGAAGTTGGCTAAGCATTTCAAAGGTTTTGAGAATCTTGCTTTTGCAAGAATCAATGCATCTGTGAATGAGCATACCAAGTTACAAATGAATCTGATCATACATGAGACTGGAAAATTCCTGAAGCTAATCTTATTTGATGTGTTGATAACAGGTTGATGATTTTCCAACCATCTTGCTCTACAAATCTGGTGAAAAGAAGATACATGTAATAACATTTTTTACTTCATTACTCTGTTTTAGAAGAGTTATAAACCTTCTAAGTAGTTTTCTTACCAATTTTTTTTTGTCTTTAACAGTTAAAGCTATCAACTAAATTGAGCGCAAAGGACATGGCTGTTTTCATCAACTAAGAGTTGAAACCAAAAGATTGTTCTGCCAAAGATGAATTGTAATATCAAGTTCCAGGCAATATATACACAAGAAGATACATAGAAAAGAAAGGATCCAAAGGCAATATATAGACGAGAGTTTTGCGAACATTACATGGTTTTAATATTGTGAGGAATTAGAAAAGAAAGGATCCAAATCCATTATAATCTGTAAAATCAATGGACTTAAATTAATTTTATAGTGTACCAGGAGTTTTGACAGCAATTGCAGGCATGACAATTTTTTAAAATAAATATATTAATAGTGCAAATACCATTAAAATAAATACATGTTTATACATTTAAAATATTTAATAAAAATTAAAGAATAATTTTTTATATCTACATATTTTCGAAATACAAATATCTTTTTATCATACAACATAAATTTAAAAACAATCATGCTTTTAAAATATTTAATAATAAATTAAATTTTAATTTCTCAAATATGACAAACCTTTTCAATTTAATAAAATTATATTTTATTACGTAAAATATATCTGAAACATTAATATATACATATATTTATATACGATATATATAATGATTTATATTTTATAATTTAGAAATATTTTAAAAATATCTAATGTAAAATATTTTTTGAATGACACAACATAAACTTTTTAAGCAATGATAATCATCAAAACAATGGAATTTGTTTTTATTTATGTTTAATATAAATTATTTTTAGATAATGATAATTATTAAATCAATTATATTCACTTTAAATTTATGGTTACTTAAAGATTAATTTGCAATTAGTTTATGATTAATTAATATAAACTATATTTACATAATGATAATCATCCAGTCAATGAATCTTTTTTATTTAAGGTTAATTATATATTATTCTCTCCGTTTCATTTTAGTTGTCGTTTTAGGTTTTTGCACACAGATTAAGAAACCATTTAATTTACATATTTTCAAAATAAAACACAATTATCTATACATCTAACCACATTTCAACCAATAAGAATAGAAAAATATAAAAAGTTAATAAATTATGCGCCAAAACTATAAAACGAGATTTGTTTTGAAACGAAAATTTTTCTCCACAACGACATGAAAAAACTGAAACGGAAGGAGTAATTCATTTTTAATTTATGCTTATTTATATATTAATAAATCTAACTATTCATTAAGAGTATTTAAGACATAAATATTCACTTCATAAATATATATATTTATTGCATAAGTAAATTTTTTCCAAAAACATTCTTATGTAAAATATTTTGAATAACACAACATAAATTATTAACTCATATCAATGACTTTTATAATTTATGGTTGATTATATATTAAAAATATATAATTATTCATTAACTTTAAAAAAGACTTTATTACGTAATATAAATTATTATTAGATAATGATAATCAAAATATATTAAATTATTTTTAAATTTATGGTAATTATATATCAATTCGTTTTTGGTTTATGGTTAAATCAATATAAACTATTTTTACATAATGACAATCATCAAACCATTGATTTTCTTCTTCTACTTATGGTTAATTATAAATTAATTCATTTTTAGTTTATGGTTAATGATATATTAATACATCTAATTATTTATTAATTAAGGATATTAATGACTAATTAGTTAAAATCATAAGAAAATGACAAATAAAAAATCACTTAAAATCATGGAAAACATAATAAATAAAAAAATAATCAATAAGAAAATTACTTTTCAAATAGTAGTATCGATGATAATCCTCTGTAACAAACTTATTAGTATTCACATCATCAAATAGTAGTATCGATGATAACCCTCTGTAACAAACTTATTAGCATTCACACCATCAAATAGCTGACCTCAAACAACATCAATGATTAAGATAAACATAACTTATCATTATAAATTTACACCAAGTGTACACGTTGAATTAAAACGCGAACACAAACTCAAACATGAGTATGTTTTACAAGAAAAAAGAGAAACAAGAGCAACTAAATTTGATCTATCAAAGTTTCAAAAAAGGAGATCCCAAAGCCATGAAATCTCTTTATAGAATCTTCTATTTTTTCTACAAATCCTTATCACATAACAATTTTTTTTTTTAACAACTCACAAATCCACTGTATATTTCTTATTATTCGTCATAGTAGTAAAATACAAATCAAAATTATGGTGAATACCAATTTCAAAGCCAATCTCATGCATAGATTTATTGACAACTTATTTAGACATATATATATTTTCTACAGAAAAAGTTTGTTCAAAATAATATAAACTACGTAGTAACCAATTAACGAAATCAAAAGCAAAAATAATATTTCAACGATTAACATTAATAAAGCAAAACATAGTTTTACAGTAATAGCACTTACCAGTTACCACCAATATCAAATACATTAAATAGCTTACATTTTGAAATTTTACTATCTATAAATCAAAATATAAATGTACATAAATATAAGATAATCCGCACGTACCGCAGACACATCACTAAAATATATGAACATAAATGCTCTAGAATGTAAACATATCTTTCATCACTAATTCATTGTTGACTGGATTCGAACGAACATAAGATGTTTTTCATCGGGAAATTAAATCTTAAACAACATGTTTCCAATTTAAAATAATACTTTTGTCACATTTATCCTATTACCTATTTTTATTTTATATTCCACATGTTTTCCATATTAATAAAACTTCTTGCTATTACAAATAACGCCAATTATTATACTCAGCCTTTACATTTATATAATTAAAATTCGTGTATATATATAAAACTATCAAATTTGAACCAACTTAGCAGATTTTTTTTTTGCAAAATGTTAAACCATATAAAAATAATATTCGTAATTATATAAAAAATTATAGATAAAACTATCAAATTTGAACCAATTTGCGCGGACCAGCCCTAGTTGGCTATAAAACAAGTTTTTAACAGCAAAAACCAAAATCCATTCTTTTTTTTGTTGTCACTGAAAACTACAATAAATCAATCGGTAATATGACCAACTTTAGAAATAGATTTTTGTTTGGCAGACGACCATAAATATCCTAAAAACCTGTAAAAAGCTCTTGAAATTTCTCAACCAACAAACATCAGACATAATCCTAACACGTTGCTCTTTCTAGCAAATTCACAATCTCCTGTAAAAGTCTCACCCAGCATAAAAATAAATAAACATAATCCTAAGACAATGGCATCTTTCTTACTTTCTCAAGCACATTCACCATCTCCTCTTCAAGTTTCCCTTTCACTTGTTCAGTCATTCCTCTAGATTCATCCACTAATGATACCAACTCCTCCAACGACTTCTTCAAATGTTCCATCTCCACTCTTGTTGTATTTGCATCTACAGCTTCACCTTTCTTCTCCTCTGCTCTCTCATTAGGATACTTGAGTCTGAATTTAACTGTGGAAGTAGAAGTAAAAGGAGAATTCTCTAGTGAAGACTCAAAAGCTTTCTCTCCATCTGCTACGTTCAAGAAGGCAACACAAGCGCAGAACTTGGTGTCCAAAACACAGCTTCTCTCTTCATCTAAAGCTCCAAACTTTCCGTAGATTTCTATAAGAGCTTCCTTTTTAGGCAGACTTGAACCAGGACCAAATGTAACAAATAGCTCAGCTCCTGAAAACTCCTGCTTCCTCGCCTTTCCCTCTCTTTCCTTCTTCTCAGACTCATTCAGCGTCTCCTCTTCCTCCAACTTAGGCTTCTTAGCTTTTTTCTTTTTCTTAGTTGAGCCACTCGCCTCCTCTGCTTCAACACCTTGCTTCCTTGATTTAGGCTTCTTAGCTTTTCTCTCTTTCTTCGCAGACTCTCTGAGTGTTTCCTCTTCTTCCTCAGCTTTCTTCTCTGATTCAGGCCTACGCTTTCTCTCTTTCTTCGTTGTCTCAGTCACCTCTCTGCCGGTTTCTTCTACTTTCTCAGCTTGCTTCTTAGATGTTAGCGTCTTTGGTCTTCTCTGTTTCTTTGTTGTCTCATGCTCGTCTGTCTCATTCTCTCCTGTTCCAGTTTGCTCAATCTCCTCAGGTTTGCCTGTCCCATCCTTGTCTGAATCTGCAGTATTATAACTCCCCACAAACTTGCTACTGGCACCCTCATGGTATGTGAAGCTTCTGTAGATGGACATGAACTCTCTTACCATATCTCTTGAGCTACTGTCTTTTGGATATTCTGTACCAAGAGCTGATACACGAATGAGATCCCGAATTTCGACGGTTGAAGCTCCCAATTTCAGAAACGCGATGGCGTGACTAAGTTCCTCCGACAGTTCTTGACGACCGACACCATTCTCCAATAATAACAATTCACAAGAGTTATCCTCTTCCACCACCACGAGGCTATTACTCGCATTGGCCGTTAGCTCTCCTACTTGGCTCTGACTTGGAACTTCGGAAGATTCTGGTTCAGTTTTGGTCTTTTTTCTCCCTTTCGATGAAAAATCTGACAAGAACTCAGCCGAAAAGTACTTGCTCTTCTTCCTCTCTCTCTTTGTTGTTTGTGTGGAGGTCTCGCCATTTCCAGCACTTGAAGAACCATTCACCTTCTTACGCAGTGAAGCTAACGGAGTTGAATCATTATCTGCTTCATCCTCATCCCTTTTCTTCCTCTTCCTCGGATTGGTGGTGGTTACAAGTGTAAGTGCAAGCTCACCCTTAACTTCATCACTGTGTTTTACCTTTTTCCTACTCGACTTCTCCTTCTCCTTCTCAAATCTCACCTTAGCACAAGACTCATTCTTCAATATCTCCGCAAGGCTCTTCTGCTTCCTCCTGTGTTGCAGCCTATGATCAGGAAACCCTGAGCACTTCTCCAACGGTCTTTGAATCGAAAACTCTTCGTCAGGATCCAAACCTTTTCCTACTTTTCCTTTTACACCACCACCATCATCAAAGTCCTCAACTTCGTCATCGTTGTTCTTGTCTTCAAGTCCTGGGACTGACTGCGGCTCAGGAAACTCAGTCAAACCATATCCTCTTTTAGACCGATAAAACGCAGACACCTTCCTCTTCACAACCTCAAGCTCAAGCAAACCGCTGAAACTAACCGTCTCCGCAAATTCTTTAACATCTTGAAGAATCCCTTCAGGTTTTCCAACCAGCAGAGAAGAAATCATCTCTCTTCTCACATCACGAACAACAACACCTTCTCTTATCCCAGCATTCTTAATTAGACGGTTATCAAGCTCCTCACGTATCAGTAAACGCTCCATGTGTCGACCCATTTCTTCTACCGCCTCTTCCACTGCGGTTACAATGCCCCTCGAGTTGCTTACGTTAGAACACTCTTTGAAACTCTCTGCAAACGGTTTCAACTGTGAGGGACCGCACCAAGCAAATGTCCTGTCTCCAAAATACGCAACAAGCAACTTCCCCTTTTGCTTTATCTTCAACGCCAAATCTGAAGCTTCTGATGGGTCGTATATCTGACCTGGCCACCATGGATGATTCTTGATTTTGCCCCACACAAAATCTCCTACATGGTATCCATGCTCCTCTTCTTCTTCTTCTTCTTCTTCTTCTTCATCACCATCTTCTCCTTCAGCATCATCCTTATCACTGACATCTTGCTTCAGCTTTAGCAGAGACGACACTCCATTCATCACACAGTCTTCAATAACACCAGCCTCATCAACAACCTTGTGCTCTCCGTTTTCAGAAACCCTAACACCCTTCTCTTCTAGGGTTTTCTCACCTGAGTCAACGACGGCGTTTCGGTTAGCTGACCGAGTTTCCGAAGAACGGGTTTTAGGTCTTGTCTCTTCACCAACTCCCACAATAGTTTCCATCTCCATATTTCCCTAAAATATTTCCGACAACAAAAATTCAGAAAAAAAGACATACTAATTAGAAAATAATCAACCGAACACATACACAAACAACTAAACACCAAGAAGGAACAACATGTACAAAAACTAGGGTTCATGAGAATCGAACATAATCTTCAAGTAAATCACCTGAATAACTTAGACCGAGAGGGAAAATAACAAAACTATCGAACAGCAAATCCTTAAGATTTGTCGTAAGAACAAAACCCACAAAGGGAAAATCAGAATCTCATGAGAAAAATCATTTATTTTTCTCTCTGGATTTGAACGAGATAACTAGGAGGGTTGTAACGCGGCGCACTTCGGGAAATTAAGACACATAAAACGATGGGGTATTTTCGTAATTCATCCTTTTTACTTGATTTTTAGAAGAAGAGAGAAAAAACAATTACTCAACCGGTTGCTTTCACGTTAACAAGCAGATAAAGCGACAGCTGTGCGAGTATGAACCTGTAACCTACTCGCTACGTACTTTACGTTGGTATGCAATACGCGTCACATGTTTCCGATGCTTGACAGGTGTCAGTGTTTCGACGGTCTGTACTTAGCGGCAGTAAAAGCAAAGAGATTTTGTACGTAACAGTGTCTAAATTTAGTGATTATAGCAATTTAGTGTTTATCCATTTTGTACTCTTTCGAACAAAACAAATAAAATGACACTTTACCAGGGAAAACTGAAAATCTAGAACAAAAATTGTATTGGAATAAAATATTATTTAATTCTATTTTCTTTAGTTACCCTTTTAATTGACAAAATAAACAAAATGAATAGTTTTATTTTAGAACCAAAATAGGAAAAAGAAAACAATAGAAGAATATTTCGTATATCTATATTATTAAAAGAGAAGTACCCATATAAAATAATCCTTAGTTTTCATTTTAATTTACAATAGCATGCCCCTCAAATAATTTAATGAATTTATATGTAAGTAATCATTGTCTTTTCCTATTTATTAAACAATTTACTAATTCAATTTTAGCTTAATATTCGTGTTTATATATTCCCTGAAATAAATTAGCTGATTTTTAGGAATACTCATATTTAAAATCTATTTTAACAATATTAAATTTGTATAACGTTACCATTAATTATTTTGAACAAAATTCAAGTTTAAATTCAATATTAAAAATATTATGAATATTCCTAAATTATATGTTTGAACTATAAGATTTTAAATATATTCGTGTTTAATATATTCCCTGAAATAACTTACCATTAGTTATTTTAAACTATAAGATTTTAAATATATTTAAATTACTTATAGAACAACATGAAATATTTGTAACTGGATATTATTTTAATATAATTAAATCTCACCTAAGATTATCTATTTTTCAAGAATTTATAAAATATATGTTTTATCATTTTGGTTGCTATTAATTATTTTCATTAAGAAAATTTAATACTGAAATTTAAATATTGAATTACTTGTAAAACAATGTTTAATGTTTATAACCAAATAATCCTTTTTATCATGTATCTAAATCTTACCATATTAGCCATATCTGATCAAAATATTTAAACTCTTTTTTCACATTTTGCAAACAATTTCATATTACAAGAAATATTATTCAAACTATCGATAGGTAATATTAAGTTTTCAAAAGTTTAATAACGGACACGAGTCACTATTTTTACAGCACATAAACTATTCGATTGTTGTGTTTATAAAAATTTAGAAATCTGATAAATATTTAAAAATATTAACAGATAGACATTTAAATAATATTCATTTATATAAAAAAGAAAAATAAATACCCATCTGGTCGGACGGGTCCAGCTCTAGTTGATTTATTAAAATCTGTAATATAACTTTGTAGTGTTTTCCTGGGTCTAAACTTGTTAAAAATATTTTATATTGTTTTATTAAATAGATTGTATTTTCTAAACAAAATGGTACAATGTATTCAACGGTTTGTTAGGCTATTATGTTTTATTGCAATCAGTAATATAACTTTTATGTTATATTTTATATTTGGAAATATAATATCGATTTTTTCAATATTTTTAATATTTTTAATTTTTTTAAATACATCGTTGACAAAAAAATTAATAAAATATGTCTTCAAACCTATCAATATTATTAAAACATAATCATTTTTATATTATTATTAAATAAACACATAATCATAAAATACTATTTAAATATATTCAAAATGAGTTATCAAAAAGATATTCTTAACTTTTTTTTGTCAACAAAAAATATTCTTAACTACTTTTTTCATATTGCATTTTAACAATATCTTTCAATATTCTTCTATTTTAATATAAATATTTATTATTTTAATAATAAAAATTGTAAATACTATTAAATTTAATTGCAGATGAATATTAACGCATTTTGATTTATAGAATAAGAAAATAACCTTCTATAATATTTATATATAAATATCTCATATTTGTAATTACCAACTACACTAAATAATAATTATACAATAACTTATCTATTTCTTTTGTAAAATATAAATTAAATGGATTATATTTACAGAATAACATATATTTATGTAACTTACAACATACTTCGTCTTATTAAAAAAAAATACTAAATAAGATACTTAAAATAAGAAATAATTTTATATTTTAATTTACATATCTAAATTAAAATATTAGCATATAATGTAATATAAAACACAATACTAAATTCAGTTGACATTAGTATAATTTGATTATATTGTATACTGAACTGTATATTATGATTTACAATTATAGTTTCTTGCGAATTATTCCATAAAGATGTAAACAGTAAAAAATAGTTTCATACTATACCTTTAAATTGTTTAAATATAATTAAAATTAATATGAGGTGGGTTATATAAATGATTTATCTTATTTTCATAAAATTATATTTATAAAAATTTTAATTTAATTAATATAATTTATAAACAAAAGTTTCTTTATAAAGTACATATTTATATATAACTTATATTTCGGGTAAATACAATTTTGAATAAAAATTTCTAGACCATCTAAATTAGGTTTTAAGGTAGACTTGAGTGTTCAAGTATCCATTAGGATACGAGTTGGGTATTCTGAATTTTAGTTCTAAGTTATATCACATCCTAGGTTTTATCATGGTAAAATTGTAAATACGAGTTAAGGTTTGGATATAAAAAATTGATTTTGGTTCTAATTTGTATCACATTCTAAAACCATAAAATAATCATATATCGTTAAAATGCGGTTTATACTGGTTCAGTCCAGATATTTCTGAAGTTTAATCCAAAATTTTTAAAACAAAACATAAGAAATAAATATTTATTTATATAGAATCAAGATATTTAAGGTACTTTTTAAATTTTAATTTTTTTTCTAGATATCTCTTGAAATAAATATAGAATTACATATTTATGTTTTTAAAATATTTATATTTGTGATTAATTTGAACATTCATATCGGTTTTTCAAAAGTTTATAAGTTTTTTTGGGTTATCGATTTGAAAGGACTAATAACACTTTGGATTTTGATATGTTTTGTACCACTACCACCATACAAGACCATTTATGATATTTTTTTAATATCTTAGACTGGGTATGGATAGGGCTTTTATAGTTTGACTTCAGTTTGGATTCGGATTATGGATTTTATTTTCAAGCTTACTTTAGAAAAAGAGAAAAAACCATTATATAATGTTTTCACCCCTGAGTTTAGAAAACATGGATCAAAATCTAGTTATGTGCTATAAATAATGATTATTCATCAAGGTTTTTTAGAAAATTCATTATAAATATATGGTCCCATTAAATAAATTAATAATTTAAATGTAGACATATTTTAAATAAGTAAGAACCTAGCATTGTAATATTTTTTATATTCACAATGAAATTATCTTTATATTTTTGTAATACTTAGTAGATTTTTATGAGATTTAGTAATATATATATCTAAAATCACATTTAATTTCTGTGTAATATATATTATATACGTCAAATGATATAATATAACTGTATAAAAGTCAAATTTCAAAAAAATAAAAATTAATGTCTATACATTAAAATCAAATATTTTTCTTATCTTAGAATAAATATATCTTGTTGCGAAAAAGAATAGTTTATCTGAAAAATATAAATAAAGAAGTTTTTATAAATTAATATTTCTATAAATTAATAAAATTTTAAAGTCTCAATATTATTAATTTATAGAGTTTTTACTGAATTGATTAATTACTATAGGAGGAGGGTGGAAGTAGGATATTTAATGTCGTAAATTTGATATTTTTAAGTAACGTTCTTAAGATGTATATGTGGGAAGAAAATATTATCATAACAATTGAGTAATGAATGGTTACATAATTTATGCCGTTAGTGACGTTCGAGAAAAACGATAATCAATAAATATTCGAATGGGAAACACAATTATTATTATATAAAATATTTATTGGTTATTTTAGATAAAAATGTTTATCCGTTTGGTAAAGTTTTTCTTCCCTTCGTCATTGAGGATATGTATATATGCCAATAGATATTCTTCTAATTAAATTGAGAATTGGAAAAAAGTTTCAATCCTTAACTTTGGTGGCTATTTGATTCGGCAATGTTTTTGAACTTCAATGGAATGGTAGCTGATTTTTAAAATCTGCTCTGATGGAGTATATTAATTATCGATGTATAAGAGGTACCTGATAGAAATCAATATGACCACTGTAAAAGTCATGTCTCAATACCACAGTAAAAAAAAATAAAAGCTTCATAGGCAGAAAGGTCACGAACTATAGTTTACCGGGAATAACTGGTAATTTCATTTCCCTTATCAGTTTATGAATCCAGAGCCAGCAAAAAAACTTGCAGAAGGCACGTCCACTTCATCATCCACATCAAGTGGATTTTTAGTTGGAGTTGGTATAGGTGGATGAACTTCTGTTGAGACAAATTTCGCAACAGTTATAGTCCGAGTGTTTCCTGTTTAGTTGAGGTCAGACACTTTCATGAATTTATGTGTTTGTTCAATGTTGTCGATCAAAGCTTTGGGGGGGGGGGGCAGGCATCTCATGGCCAGCACCAAGTTCTTGATTAGCCTAAAAAATTCAAAGAGGAAGAAAATGAGTTTTAATGACCTGGGAGAGGGTTCTAAGTTGATGGCTAGTTACCTCAAAAGTTGTCAACCAATTCCGCAGAGCATTCTTCCCTGTAAACTCACGTCCTGCATCACCAAGGAGGACAAAAATAGCCTGATCATTATTATCATAGATAAAGATCTTTGAACGATCCTTGAAAAAAAAATCAAACTCTAGAAAAATTAAACATAAATTTGTGAGGTTAGAGTTCAGACCTTGCTAAACCAGCGACGTTAGTGTTGCCACACTTGGCGCA